ATGGAGGAGAACATGATCTTGGATGGAGAGTTCTTCGATGGCGGCGGATGGAATCAGAAGTCTGAGCACACTTTGAAGTCCAACGAGGTCGGGAAGAAGAGCTCGTCAGCTAAAAGCTTTTTTTCACCGAAAAAAAGCTATCACATCAGTTCCCCAACCCACAACCCACAACCCCCCGTCCTTTCCGTTTCACTTGGGATGGTGTGTTTTCATGTCCCCCACAAGCAGGATAGTTCTCTAAACTAGGGCCCCTTTTCAGGTCACCAAAATCGTACGGCAGCCGTATAAAAAGGAGCCTAGAAGGGACCCTAGTTTAGAGAACTACCCTGCAGCAGCCGCAGCAGCAATGCCTGACCCGGATCCCTTTGCTTCGGATTCCTCTACATTCACCGACTCAGCTGAGGTCACCAAGTTGGAGTTTGCCTGCAACGACATCTTCCGGGGCATTCAAGGGCTGGTTTGGTACGTAAGCGAGAAGAGCTTAGACACCTACTTCAGCCTCGCTACTTCGTCATAGTTGGGAAACCCTCTACAGTCTTTGTGGATGCCGAAACTCAATGAGGAATAGAAGTTTAGATTTTAGTACTATCCCCAACCATGAACTAGACTTGGGGGTTAGGAGTACTTAAAAGTGTACCTAAACCCTAAACCCTAAACCCTAAACCCCAAGCCCTAAACCCTAAACCCTCAACCCTAAGCCCTAAACCCTAAACCCCAAGCCCTCAACCCTAAGCCCTCAACCCTAAGCCCTCAACCCTAAGCCCCAAACCCTAGGTTTTCTCCAACCCCATCGCCGGGAATGCCACCTTCAACGCCTGGGCGGGCCCTCCGCCTGCTGAGCTCTTGCAGGAGATGTGGGCTGCTCCGGCCGTTCCTTGAAGGGTGGGTTTAGGGTTTAGGGTTTAGGGTCTAGAGTTTAGGGTTTAGGGTCTACGGTGTAGGGTCTAGGCATCAGGGGTTCAGGGTTTGGGGTTTAGGGTTTAAGTTCTTGAAAACACTTCTTAGGGGTTTTAGTTACTATAAAATTACTTCTGAGGTTTTGATTACTATAACCCTTATAATCCCTAAGAAACAGCGAAAACTTCGGTTTTTGGTTACTATAGTCCCTAAGTAACAGATAAAAGCTGGATTTTTGCAAGGGTACCAAGCTCAGTATAGGTTCCGGAGAAGGGCGTGCAGGTGCCACCTGGCATGGGCTGTGCCTGGAATGTCATAGAGCAGGGGAACGTGATCCACATCCGCCTCATCATCTTGGCCGAGCTCTCTGCCATGGACCCCTCCGCCTACCCACCCACCCCTGATGTAACCAGCCCGGTTTCTCCGGCCAAGGTGGAGGTAGAGCCGCAACCGCAACAGGTGGGGTTTCAGAATCTTAGGGGTCCGGTTTTTTGCTGTCCTTAGAAGAGGGGTCTGATTTTTTAGGGTCTTTCTCAGGGTCCTCGCAGAATGAGAGGTATGGGCTTCCAGTTTGAATAATTGAAAACAGTATTCCTAAGGGCTCCATATCACAATGATACTACAACTTAAGCACAAAAGCCCTCAGGTCTTTTCGGACTCCACGGCCATCGTTCCCGTCGCCCCCAGCACGGAGGAAGAGGAGGCAGCTACGGGAGTGGAGAAGATCTTGAGCTCCACCCGGCCCCGGGACGTCTTCGATGGGGTCGGAAGTGGCTTGAAGGTGGGCGCAGCCCCAAAGACCAAACACACCAAAATCAGTGAGTTTTTTGTCCACAACTCCTCCTTTTGGAGGCCCTTAAGACCTCTGAAAAAACGATCCTATGTTCATGAGTCATGGGTTTCCTGGCCCGTATGGCCTACCCTAAACCCATCTAAACCCTAAACCCATCTAAACCCCTAAACCCCTAAACCCCTAAACCCCTAAACCCAGAACCCAGAACCCACATTCCCCTAAACCCTAAACCTCTAAACCCCATAACCCCCAACCCATTTAGCGGGATTGGGCC